TAATATACTTATAAAAAGTCCTAAGGCTAATAACTTTATATTTTTAGATTAAGTAATTTATAAGGCGCTATCTTATATTAATTAACTATAAGTAACTAATTATAATAGACTACCTTACTTATAAGGACCTTTAAGAGCTTTATTTAGCTCCTTTAGTATTTTTATAGTCTATTTTAGTTATTATTATAAATTAGTAACCTTTAAGGTTCTAACTTATTATTTTAGTTTTATAATTAGGTTATTTTTATTATCTAAGTTACTAATCTATTACTTTATTATCTTATTATCTTTTTAGGGTTTTCCTTATTCCCTTAATTAGTTACCTTTTATAATCTTATTATCTTATTATTATTACTTTTTATAATTACTTACTTAGTGTGCTTAACTAAATATCTCTCTAATTAGTTTAAACCTATAGTTAATATTCTAGAAGGGAAGACTATTAAAAGCGTATAGGGTATAAAGGACTCTTATAGTCTAGTAACTATATAGAACACTATAACTACTAAAAGTAATATAAGATTTCTTACTAATTAGTGTATAAATTATATTAATTTATTTAGAATTAACGTTAATTATAAGTGTTAAACTATAGTATTAAGTATAATTATGCTCTAATTAGGTAGGTAGCTACTCCTAATTATCTTATATTATTATAATTAAAGGTAAATTATAAAGAGGCTTTAGTTTAATTAGAAGATAGGTATAAGTATAAATAATAAATTATATATATATATTTTTAAATCTATTAACGCTAGCTTATATCTCTATACTTAATTAGGTACCTATAGATACTACTTAGCCTGCCTAAGTAAAGCCTTATAAGTTATTATCTAACTAACGTTAAGCTATACTGCCTTTATTAACAGTTTAGCTATCTATTAATTTACTAGCTATATAAGATTCTTTATAAGGCTAGCTATAAGGTTAGAATAAAGGTAATTAAATATTTAATAAAGTACTACTATTACTTTTAGAGGTAATAAGGAGTAATATAAAAATAAGAGATAAAAGATAAGATAAGATAGGAGATAGGAGATAAGGAATATAGTTATAATATAATATATTATATTTCTTGCTTATTAAACTAAGACTTACTGTCTAGATAGAGGGAGAAAAGGGGATTATTTATACTTATTTTCCTAAGGTTATCTTAGATTTCTAGAGACTTCTTCTAGATTCTAGGTTATTAACTAGGTTTATTTATTAGGTTATTATTTAGTTAGGTTATTTATCTAACACACTTTGCTTATATAGTTTACTTAGTGTGTTTTACTACTAAAGTAACTCCTTAGGAGAATAGTGCTTTTCTTAGAAGTACTATTCTTTATATAGTAATATTCTTATCTTTTATAATATATAGTAGAATTTAGAGTAGTTATATAGTTATAGAGTGTATATAGTGTATATAGTATTATTAATACTATAAAATATATTTTACTTATATTTAATTCTACTTTATTATTTTCTTATTTTTAAGTTTTATATAAGGCAGTTAACCTTAATATCTAATAGTAACTAATCCTTACTTTTACCTCTTTACTTTTATAATATAGATTTTACCTCTAGTTATATAATATTACCTAGGCGTATACTTAATCTATAATACTACTTAACTATATTATTTTTATAAGACTTCCTATATAAATTTACTATCTTTACCTTAATAACTTTATTATAAAGGTAATAAAGCCGCTTTATAGTATTACTAAAGTAGGTACCTACTAGTAGGCTATATATAACTACTATTATAAAGAGAATCTCTAGATAGATTTATTAACTTTTAACTTTTACTTACTTATTTTATTACCTAATAATAAGGACTTTAGTCTTATTAGTATATAAATAGATAATATAATTAGCCTTATAAATAATAAATTCTCTACTTATAAAAAGAAAAAGCTTAAGAAGGTAACTTTTACTATAAAGCCTAAGTAACTATTAACTATTAATAATTTTATTACTTTTAATAGTAGTATACTTTTCTTTAGCTATAATAGTAAAATAAATTTTTACTAAAAGGATTAAGGTAAAAAGCTTTAGCCTGTTAATATAAATTTACTTACTACTAAGTAGGACTTTATCTAGTAAAGGGCCTATAGGCGTATATTATATTAATTTACTAACCTAAGGCTTACTTTAACTACTTAGTTACTATATAACACTAAGAGCCTATAGAGGAGGAGATAAAGGCTCTTAAGTACTAGATTAAATAGTAAATAAGTCACCTTAACTATAGCCTGCTTTTTTAGCTAATTAACCTTATAACTATAAAGCTTTTTATCTTTATTAATAGCTTATTTATAAATAACTATAACTTTACTTAATAACTTAGCTTTATTATTATACTTACTAATAAAAGTAATATTATATAACTTACTAGTAATAATAAGAAATTTATACTTATTAGTAATATTATTTACTTTAGCTTAATAAAGTGTAAAAAAGTTATATATAGCGTACTAGCCTCTAAGGTCTATAGTATAGTTACTAGCGCTAATATTACCTATATAATTAGTAGTATACTTATAATAATTACTAAGTGTCTTAAGTTACTATAAATCCTAATAATCCTTTATACTAACTTATACTCTCTTTATAAGTGCCTTAAAAAGCTTAGCACTACTAAGGAGAAGTAACTTATAATTAATAATATAGCGCTTTACTAGTTATATAAGTAATATAAGATCTATAAGATCTAATAAATATAAAGACAGAATAACTTAGTAAATAAATTTATAAAGTTATTACTAAATAAAGTACTAAAGCAGTTAATTAATAATAGTTAATTAGAGATATAGATATATAAATAGGTTTTATATATATAATAAGTTATATATATAAAAAGTATTAAATACTTTTTAGCCTTTTACTTTTATTATATTTTTAAGCCCTTTATAAATAACTAGAAAATAGGGATAATTTATAGGACTTTAGAAAGTTACTAGTGTTATAATATTAACTATTACCTAGATATTAGTAGTATAGATTAACGCTAAATAGCTAGAATAACTATAGCTAATTTACTATAAATCCACTAGATCTACAGGGATATTACGTAGTGGATTTGCTGTGTAATCCTATAATAGTTTCTTTTCCTTTACGTATAATTTAGAACTAGTATTTACCCCTATTATTTATTATTACTTATTAATACGTATAGTTGACTGTATTACTACCCTAGTAATAACTATTAGGTAGGCTTATAATAAGGGTAATTTATATAGTTAAAAGTAGCTTATTATTTATAAATAGTATTATATTACGTCTTATAAGTACATACTACTTAAGTTCTGGCTTTTAAAGTATAATTATACTAGAAGTAGTATAATATAGTAAAATCCTATATAAGGCTATTCTATCCTTTATAATATAATATTATATAAGTAATAAATATAGGTAAAACTAAGGTTATATTAGATTATAACTAGGGAAAGAGAAAAGAATAAGCTGCCTTTTATAGGTCTAGTAGCTTTTAGTTATAGTAATAATATTATATTATTCTAATAAGAGAACGAGATAGTAAATTATATATAAAGATAATATATATACTTTAATAACTAGTATATATTAATTATTATCCTAAGATATATATATTATAGATCTTAATAGTATAGCTTATAAAGCTTAACCTACTTTAGTATCTTTAAATATAATACTAGATCTTTATAGTATATATAAATTTATATGTAAAATATCTTTTATAATTATTTTAAAAGTACTAAACCTATAAAATCTCTTTCTCTTATATTAAAGTAGGTATAGTATATATTAGTTATTAAAGTTATAGAAAAGTAGAAATAGCTTTACTTTTATATATAGTTTATTGACTAATAATTCTAATTTATACTAGGAGGCTAATACTCTACTGTAAGCTACTAGAAACCTAAGGTCTCGGGTTTTAATCCTATCTTAGGCTAAGAAGACCTACAGACTTAAGTGCCTAGAGCCTAAAGTAATGTAGCAATCTATATAGCTGTAGCTACATAAGTATGGTACTTTGTATATCCTCTAGTATAAAAATAGGCTTAAGCTCTTAGCGCTCTTAGGCCTAGAGGGTGTGTTAAAGTAGCTATGGTATGTTACAGTCATTAAAGGCATAAGGAAACAGGGGTGCCTCTCCTTTGGTCTGCACTTTGTTATCTTATTGCCTATAACGTTGAAATGTAAGCGCTTACCCCCTTGAGTAATGATCAAGGCTGCACTACAAAAGTTCCTGTAAAATGTTGCTTACTATTTCTTTACGGAGAATCAACTACAGCCCACAACCAACCATCGTAACCTTTCTCTCCCACAGTTTGCAGCACGACTGAATCAAGACCAGGCTCTTGTGCTGCCTTTTCTACGACTTCCCGACATCCTAATATGTACGGATCCCTAGTGTCCAAATCCGCCAGGAATCCATCGCGTACAATATTATCAATACAGATAACCGATTTTGGCTCCATCATGTCCTTTGCAAGTTTTAAGTAGTTCCAGTTGTTCACCTTGTCGGCATCAATAAAAGTGAAGCCAAAACGAGGTCGCAATCCCTGTCGAACTTCATCCCTCAACTTTGTCAAAACGTCAATACCAGAGCCGTGGACCACCTCAATCGAGTCCGACAGTCCGGCTAACTTGATGTTCTGACGCGCTACCACAACGTTCCTAAAGTCCTGCTCAATCGTAGTAACGGTCATCTGTGGGTTCTCGCTTGCCAGCCAGATAGCCGTGTACCCACCAAGCGTGCCTACTTCCAAAGCGTGCCGGACCGATGCTGTACGGCAGTGCAGGGCTAGGAACTTTGCATGACACGCAGGTAGTGAGTAGTCTGGCAAACCCGCCTCCGAGGATAGGCTCAATGCATGTTGAAGCGGCCTCGTGTTAGGCCGCGACGGGGGATGCGTCTGTTTCAAGGCGTACTCGTCCACAGCTGCCCAGCGCGGATTGTGTCTGTAGCTTTGCCAGATGTTCTTGCTCATTGTGTAGTCGGCCACAGAGATGTCGATGATATTCGCGTCGAGAGGCGGTTCCCTGCTCGAAGGCCTTGAATTATCGGATAATAAGCACGTAAGGGTGTCTGTAGACGAATAGACAATTGCTGTCGACGCCAGGTTCAGTGTCAGTAAGAGGGCGGGTATAATTTTGAAGTGAGTCCGCATTGTGTATTTGGATCTGATAATACATCGTCACCTGTGACTGCGGTTTCCAATTTTATAAGCATACAATTAACTCTTACAATAATGCTCTCCTGTATTGTTTAGGACTATGCTGAGATGCCTGCGGACGCTCCTACTCGAAAACCCTAAGAATGTTGTCTACTGGATCTCAAGGGTTTAATCGGGACTTTTTTCGGGTTACTGATTCATTCAACATCGGTCACCGACTTTCTAGCAGCAATGGCAAGGCGCTGTCTACATAGAGTTGACATGACTAGTTAAACTTCTCTTCTTTTAAAAGTTCCCCACTTCGGCTCGGTTCTGAAACATTAGCTAATGTGGGTCATAGCTCTTTAGTCCCGAGAAGTTAATAGCGACTTAGACTTAGACTGAGCTTTACTATACAGCTTATAGCTACATTTATAACATAGCTAGAAAGAAGATAACTCTAAATAATTACTCTGAAGTGCTTTATTCCTTATGTATATTGAAGTTTTAACTAATATAAAATATAGATATAAAGTAGTATTAAACTAGGTGTTAGGTCCTATAATAAGGCACTAGATGGGAGCTAGGGTAGGGCTAGGTATAAATAAACCATTAGTAGCATGTTAATTCAGGACATTTATACTAAAGGCTAATTCTGTAACAACTAAGTGGCGGGCTCGCTTTTTAGGTTGCTTAGAGGTTGTTATTAAAGTAGGCAAAATGGCCGCGTACGCCTAGTCACAAGGTAGGGCAATTAGCTATAAATACGCTAGTTATTTCTAAGATAGATTTCACTACTTAAAACAAGAGAAGATAAGAATCTATATATTAACCTTATAGAAAAAAATAATTAAAAATAGCTCTATAGTATAAAGATAGTTAATATACCTATATAGTAAGTAAATAATTTTAATAACTAGACTACCTTTTCTTCTTTTTATCTCTTTAACCTTTACACTAACCTTCCTCTATATATAAATATATAACCCTCTTTAATTAAAAAGTATATTATCCTTACCTTCTAAGCTATTAAAAAAGACCTAAAAATATCTATATAAAAAGTAGCTACTATCTTTAATGTCTCTTATATAATACTTTATTACTAATATAAAGAATATATTATATAAAATAAGATATATTTAAATTTAAAGAAGATAATAAAAGTAAAACAGAAAGTAATTCTTTAAAAAGTTATTAACTTAATTAATTAAGGGTTTCTTATGTAATAAGATAATATATAAGATATAGCAAGCTAACTTTTAAATAAGTATAATATAATATATATTAAACTTAAATAAGTAAAGAAGTTTATATAATAATAACCTTATTAAAAATATAATTTTAATATTAAATTAACTATTAAAGACCTTAGCTAAAGATCTTATAATTATATAAGGCTAGTTTATACTTATATAGAATATAATTATAAAGTATAAGGTATAAAATAATAATATTTATAATTTTAATAAGCCTAAGTTTTTAAAAGAAATACTATTATATATAAAGATTATTATAATCTTTAATTCTAAAATAAGCCTTTATATAAAGTAACTTAGTAATTATAAATACGTTTTTATAATTTAAGGTATCTATATAAATAGCTAGGTAATATATTTATATATTATTATAAAAAGTAATATTACTTTTTCTTTTAATATTAAAATAGCTAATATCTAGCTAAATAGTATATTTACTTAACGTACCTATATAGTAAGTAGGCTATTATAGTAAGCAGGCTACTTCTATCTACCTTTCTACCTTTTATAGAATTTAATTTAACTAGGTTATATAAAATTAATTAAAAATATATATTACTTTATTCTTTATTACTATCTTAAACTACCTTATAGGTTTATATATTATATCTAGTCTTTTTATAATTACTATATTATTACGTATATAGCTTAGTACCCTTTATATAACCCTCTTTTTAGGATATTTTCCTACCTCTAGCTTTAACACTCTCCTTTTCTCCTTATAGTACCTCTACTTTAGTTATATTAAGTAACCGTTTAAGACGTAGTTAGGTCTTTTTAGCCCTCTAGCGCTTACTTAGTATATTTATCTCTATATAAAGTCTAAGGTTCTTAGCCTTAATAAGAGTAAGCCTATATACTAACTTACTAATACCTTTAGCTTAAAGGTTAATTACTTTATATATTAGTGTTAGTAAGCTTCTTTAATATCTCTAGATCTTTTTTTTTAGTAAACTAGCACTTTATATACCCTTAAGTGCTATTATTAGTGTCTTTAGGTCCTATAAGCCTAAGCTAGTTAGACGTAAGCTAGGAGGTATTAGTGTATTTAGCTTAAAATCTAGATAAGAAATAACTACTTTAGGGTTAAATAGTATAAGGCTAGCCTATCTAAAGCTAGCTTATATATTTACTTCTCTTATTAAAGTAAAAAATACTACTTTAAAGGTGAAAAAAAGTTATTTTTTATAATATATAATATATAAAATCTATATTTATATTATTGTCTTAATTTCCTTACTATATAAAAGCTTTAATAAGCTTAAATAACCTATATTAAGAGGCTAAAGCTTATATAATAAATAAGGAAGTATGTATAAAGTAATAACCTTTTATTTCTTATAGAAATATTAAATTTAGTTAATTTATAGCTATTATAGCTATTAAGAATTAAGAGTTAATAAGTACTTTTTATATAAGACTTTATATACTAGTTAAAATAATTTAACTAATTTAGGCTAATCTTATTTATTATTTATCTATTTTTACTTAAGGAGATATATTATTTAGCTAGGAATTAGCTATTGTAGTATTAAAAGAGGAGGTAATATTTACTTTTTATAATAATATATAAAAGTATTACCTAGCTATCTATATATATACTTTAAGTAGTAGAAACCTATTCTTAATTACTAAGCTACTTTATATAAGGCCTTCTTTTATAATTAGAGGTTATAATAACCTTTATATATAATAGTATTCCTATTAGGAACCTAGTCTTATTAAAATTATAAATATTATAATCCTATATCTTATACTTTATAATTATATTTTATATAAGTATAAACTAGCCTTATATAATTATAAAATCTTTAGCTAAGGCCCTCTAATAGTTAATTTAATATTAAAATTATATTTTTAATTAGGGCTATTATTATATAAAATTCTCTACTTATTAGGGTTTAATATATATTACGTTATATTTATTTAGGAGTTAGTTAGCTATATCTTATACGTCTTCTTATTATAAAGGAAACCCTTAATTAATTAGGTTAATAACCTTTTTAAGAATTAACTCTTCCTCTATTTCTATTATCTTCTTTAATTTTAGATATATCTTAGCTTATAGTATTTATCAAACGCGTTAGTATTAAAGTGTTATTCTTAGGACCTTAAATATAGAAGCTGCTTTTTATATAGATATTTTTAGGTCTTTTTTAATAGCTTAGAGGGTAAGGAAAATACGGCGTTTAATTAAAGAAGATTATATGTTTATACGTTAAGGAATATTAGTGTAAAAGTTAAAGAGTTAGAAAAGAAGAAAAGTAGCCTACCTACTATAATAGCCTGCCTACTATATAGGTACGTTGAGTAAAAATAAATAATAAATAAATTAAAGTAGCTTAAATTAGTTAAATAATTTTAACTAGTTAATAAAGTCTTATATAGAAAGTACTTAATAACTTTTAATTGTTAATAATTATAATAATTATAAATTAATTAAATTTAATAATCTTTATAAAGAATAAAAGATTATTACTTTATATAAACTTTTTTATTTATTATATAAGCTTTAGTCTCTTAATATTAGCTCTTTTAGCTTATTAAAGGTTTTATGTAATAAGGAAATAAAAAAAATAATATAAATATAAAATCTATATATTATAAAGTATAACTTTTCTTTTACTTTTAGAATAATATTTCTTATTTTAATAAGAAAAAGAAATATATAAGCTAGCTTTAAATAGACTAGCTTTATACTTTTTAACCTTAAAGTAGTTATTCTTGACTTAAACTTTAAGCTAAATATACTAATACTTACTAGCTTATATCTAACTAGCTTAGGCTTATAAGACTTAAAAATACTAACTATAGTATTAAAAAATATATAAAGTACTAGTTTACTAAAAAAAAGGATTTAAGAATGATAAGAAAGCTTATTAATACTAATATATAAAGTAATTAACCTTTAAGTCAAGAGTATTAATAAGTTAGTATATAAGCTTACTTTTATTAAGGCTAAGAACCTTAAACTCTATATAAAGATAAATATATTAAGTAAGTACTTAAAGGCTAAGAAGACCTACTTATATCTTAAAAAGTTATATAATATAGCTAACGTAAAGGTGTTATAAGGAAATAAGAAGGTATTAAAGCTAGAGGTAAGAAAATATCTTAGAAAAAGAGTTATATAAAAAGTAGTAAGCTATATTATTAGAATATTAACTATTACTTAGAAATTAGTAGTATAGATTAACGCTAATAATAGCTAGAATAGCTATAGCTAATTTATACTAAAATCCTCTAAGGATTTTATAGTAATTTCTTTATAGATCTACTAGATCTATAGGTATATTATATAGTAAGTTTACTATATAATTATATTATAGTTTTTCTCTTTATATATAATTTAGAAACTAGTATTTACTCTTATTATTTATTACTACCTAATAAGACGTATAGTTAACTATATTACTACCTTAATAAGTAACTAAGACTAATTAGTAGTTAACTCTATAGTAACTACTACAATAAGATACTATAAATTAGTAAGGTAATATAAAAAGAGGTAATCTACTATTATTAATTATCTATAGAGGACTAAAGTAAGCTTTTACTAAGAATTCTCTCTATAATTAC